ATAATCATGCTAATCAACCCCAAAAGCAGACAGACGGAAATTTGGCAAACTTTTCACCTTTGCCGTACAATAGTGTCTAACCAGAGATTTTGACGAACATCATACCAAACAACAGGATTATGACACACACACTCCGCTAATGGTTTCATAACTGAGAGAAATGATTCCCGATTCAGTAAGTAAGGTATCCGAAGTGCAATGAACCATACTAGACACTGTTCCGAATTCCAGTGTACAGCTTTTGTCACCTCTAGCAAGGAGAGGATTGTTTGGCAGCAACCGATAGCGTTCGAGTGAAAAAAGTAAACTGAACTGAAGTGAGTGATGGGAAAGAGGGAATTACAGGACTCTTGGTTTGCTTTCTCTGGTGAATGAAAACCATGAGCTTGGACAGATAGATCAGTCCAATAGGCGCGTATACACTACGGCGAATGTTCAGCACTCGTACGCAAATTTTTTCAAAGCATTCCCAACAACTGGGGTTGAATCAAAATGAAACAAATTAATATTATTCAGGGCGATCGTCGTTCCGCTGCACAACCTAGACAAACCGTTTCGGCATTACCCTTTACGAAGTTTCAAAACACCTTACTGACAGCAGATAACCATTTCCGGAACAGTAGTTTTGCATCCAATTCTAGAAATGTGAGTAACTTAACTGAAGAACCGATTCACGTGACCAAAAGATATTCTACTGAAAGTGCACCTATTTGAATCTCAATCATGTTCAGGCACGACAATTTCATAAATATATGACCGCTGTGACCTTGGTTTTGGCAAACAGGCTCCAGGTGAACTGGATGAAATTAATCGTTGCCATGACTGTGGGTTGGAACTCAGTTTACATCTACAGAAGAGATGAAAAGGCATTAACATCAGCGATAATGCTAGCATGACATACGAACAAATGTACATCAGTTTATCCGACGAAACAAGTATAAATGTTTGCTGACATCATGAGGTGCATTTTTGGTTCGCGATCCGAAAGGCCTGGTGTTCTATATAATGTTGAGTACGTCTACACTGCCATTAACGGCCTCAAATGATTAGTGAGAGGCTGTATTCCACAAGGGTCATGCCACAGTCCGCAACTCTCATCTTACCAGAAACTGGCTATTGGTCCACAGTAACAAAGTGACGACATAACCCGAATGCAACCTAAACCGAAACTCGATGGAATATTAAAGAAAATTCTGACGGAGAGATTGTATAGAAACGTGAGAATAAGCGAATCAAACGGTTAAATATATTCAGCTAAGAAAAAGGAAAATCTGTCCACTGATAACGAGACGCTATGCCCACAAGGTTTGTTGAGTTTATGAAAAAAACGAAACAGTTGCTCTATGCTATCCTAGCTTGCTCCGTTTGCATTGAACCCTGAGATGTGGGGATACGATAATTTCATCGCTAAATTGTTTCACATACAGATTATCTTTTTAAATAAAAAGTGAGTAATAGAAATTTCGTAATAAACCTTTGTACCGACGGCTAATGTGCCTCACCCGGCAGAGCAAATACCGTGAAATCGTAACGGGGGGTTCGGGTGAGAAACGTTTGTTGTAGAGTACGGAAACTGTCATCCGTATCGAATCTATTCTCTATGACAATCCCTGTTTAAAAAACAGCTTTTGAATTGAAAAGATACAAGAAAATGAAACAGAGGTGTGGACTTGGCTGAACATCACAAGAGTAGGGAAGAGTTGCTGTCAATCAAGAAACCAGCACCGAGAGGAGAATAGAAGAAAATTTTCAGCATTGAATTCGTTGAGAATCAGATGTCAATCAGACCTGAGAGACGGATGGAGAGAGGGAGGAGGCGAATGTTAGAACGATACTAGCCATTCTGTTGCTGGCTTAGATTTCAGACTTTCTTTCAAGACACTGTTGACTAGCCAAGTCTTTCCGATAATAACGTGGCATGCATTCGTTTTATTGCTGTATTACGGGAGACGATGTAGAATAAGTTAAGTTACACAAATACTGGAGAAACCATTGGTTTAAACCAAAGTATAGTTTGTAAATAGTAAACCATCAGAGGCTTCAATGAGATGTATGGAGTAAGCGGAGTAAGCTACCACCTGTGTTCGAGACCGGTCTGGTGGAGTTCCAGCGTTGGTCCTTTAAAGGCAACTAGCCTAGGAGGAGTACGGGCTGATGCCTATGGACCAACATCAACAACAAATGCATTAAAACATTGACTATTGTAATTGAAAAGTGATGTAAACTTACCGGCAGGCCAATCCCTCGGAATCATTCAGTTGCGGAGGCCGAGTTGTCCTTTCCGGTCTTAACATACGGCACGTGATTCGGGTGGGAGCACTCGCCGCACTGGGTGGGACCAAAACACGCAATCCCGGATGACGGCTGCCCCGCATCGAACCCCCACGCGCGTCGACCAGGAACGAAACGAGGAACCTAGAGCGAACGGAGGTAGGGACACGGCAAGAGGCGGAGGACGAGAACAGAACGTTAATGCCAATCGAGTAGAGCCAGAAAAACTTAATCGAAGATAGAGACAAAACACTGGGTTATTTACACACCTAAATCTCGGTTATACACCGAGCAAAAAAACACAAAAGTGATCTATCTTTTAGCCTATTCTGCAAAATTTCCAATCACTGGTAAGCAAAAGACATTGAAAAATGAGACGAAATCGGTAGAAATGTGATTGTTCAGCTGAAAGAGCCAACTGGACAATTGGGAGCAAGCACTTAGATCAGACATTCTGGGCACTGGTTTTCTGCTTCCACTTTGCCGTAGACTTATTATTATTGCTATTGCTATGTTTCTCGCGCATCTGAGTCCAGACTGGGCCAAA